TGGAACGCTTCACGATTTTGCGTGTCATCCTTGCGCAGGGGCCATGCTAATCTTCTCTGTATCGTTCCAATTTTAGTATATGTTCTGCCGTAGCAAGAACGAATTTAGTTTGTTACTCAAACTATTTAAGCAAACTTTTTTAAAAAAAATTGTCTGAGAATTATTTCCCTGTTTACCTATGAAACAAAATACAGTTATGAATCTACAAAAACGGGGTTGTTTTGAAAAATTTTGCCCATTATAAAAGTTTAAATTTAGTACAAACATACAGAATTATTATATTTAGAAGTTTTACCCATTATAAAACTTTTAAATTTTCTTTTTAATTTGCGTTTAACAGAAATTTATACTTAATGAAATTTTACAGAGTTTATTGTTTATTTACTTATTAGCGAATTCAGAACGAAATAAAAAAAAAATGTATTTCAAGTCATTGCGTGAACGAACCAAATGCACAAAAACGGGGACGTTAGACAAAGTAAGTTTTTTCTTGTTTACATTACAATTGGTTGTTGCAAAGCTAACTAACTTCAGTTTTTACAGAAACTTTTTATATTCTGCAGTTATGCCCGATATCGCGCAGCCGAACCCCTTATTTGAAATTAAACGATTAAAATATAATTTTCTCATTTGTTTCAACCGCGATTATTTTATTTATAATTGAATTGAAAATAAACAATGTTTTCATATTGAGAAAACCTTTACTTAAGGTACTTAAGTGCTTTTTTTGTTGTATTTTTCTTTATATTTGCCTAACACGATAAGCGATCTTTGTAAAGTTTCATACGCTATAAGAACATCAATTTCGCGTTAAAGAAAAGAAATAATCTAACAGCTTTTGTGGAACAGGCCGCGAATATGAAGGAAATATTGAAAAGTTTCTATGTAAAGAGTTCCTGCGAATTAAGAGAAAAATTGGAAACCGTTTCAAGGGAAAACTTTTATATTGTAAGCATCGTCCTTCAGCTCACAAAAAAAAAAAAAAATCAGAACTAGGTTCTCATTAAATCATATACTTTTCATCTAAAAATAAAGGCAGGAAACGATTAATGCATTGCGCGACATGTTCAAATATTATCTATTGCGATCATATGTGTTAGTAAGCATTTTAATATAAGGATTACTTTAATATAAGGATTGCCCAATTAATATACAAAACAATAATCTGATAGAAATGTGAAGATAAATTCGAATTTAATTATAGCTGAAATATTTATTCACTAACTATCGATAATTATATTGTCTAATAAGGCCGTCCTTGATGTAATCAATGAAGACTTTATCCAATTTAATTGATCCCACGACATTCTCCTTGAAATAGTTGGTACAAAAAGCTGTGAAACTATTTACTTTCGAAAGTTATCTTCAAAGCAAAATAAAACAAATACGAGTGCAATCGTAGCGATATGCGTAATTCCGCCTTTTACTCGGAAGAAACAAATGTCTATTCACGGTCTTTGGAATACTAAGAGTCGTAAACCGTCAATGCTTTTTTCAATTATTGAATACTTTCTCACTCGTGATCAATTAAGTTAATTTTTGCTTTTCCAATCCGTCAATAACAACTAGAATAACTTGTGCAATCGCTTGTGCAACCATTACAAATCATGGGCCTAAAGGTAGATTGTGGTATAGAATTGGCCTAGGGCTCACAATCCGACCATACGGTAAGTAGATTTGATGCATTCGTTCATGTAAGGGCAAAGTTTGTGCATTTCGTTTAGGTGTAATCGTCTGTGCAGTGTCCATGAGACAAAAGGTTAAAACCTCCCATATCCTACAAAACTAGCTAGCTCAGAAATGGCCCGTGTTACCGTCTCTATACCTTCCTTTAAGCGCCTGGATATCTATAAACTTAGTCGTTACATAAAAGTGGGTTTTTTTGCAGATCCATGATCTTACGTTCATGAATTTTTAAGCTGCCTTGTCTTTCAAATGCGTTTACGACAAATGTCGTATATTCGATGAAGTTCAAATTTGTAGACGGAGAGTAATGGAGTTTATACAGAAGTTTACGTCTACTGGTAGCATCTTTCTCCTGTTCGATTGCTCAATTAATAACCAGTGGTTATCTAGAAATATATGGCAAATATAAATAGGGTTAGAGGAAGCATTGATTTAAAGTTTTTCGAATTTTAAACAATTGGATTACAGCGTGTCACTAACTCAACTGATAACTCAATTCATTCTCAATTTATTGCGGAAAGTAAAATTACTTCTCTATATCCAGAGTTTCGAATCACATTATTCACGTATAATAATTGGCTCTGCCACAGGGGCTACTGTCTGATCCTCATAGTGCTCCTCTAATTGATCTTTCTCGCAGATAGCATCAAAATCAGTCATTGATATTATTCAGTGTAATTTGAACGCAGAAAGTTGTTTTTAAAAGAAATCTTCGCAAAATAAAAGGGATAACAGAAGACCACCTCCACCGCATCACACTAGAGAATAGAGAGAGCGCGAGCGATTGTTATGAAATCAACAGCAGCACCAGCAAATGCACGTAGGTCGCGGATTGCTGGAGGTTTTTCCTCAAGCTTTCTGAGACCTCAGATTTACGCCGTTCCTGAAGATGCCGAACAAATGATTCAATTTTTTGGTATTGAAACTCCTATTGGCTATCCCGGGTGGCGTTTGCATTTCTATAGTTCAAATTTTGAACAGAATAGCATAATCCATAGGCGTATCAAACTTATGGAAACACATTGGATCCCACAACACCGTCACACGTTGATTGGATTCAATTTTTAACATATGAGATGGCAACATTTTCTTTTTAAGGCAAACAATTATGCATTTAAACAAAACACAACGCCATCACCATAAATCTTTTAAGCAGAAATGCTTACTTTAATCGTGTAATTCTTTCGATGCGGTACCACGTTAGAATTGACGAGCTCTTGGAAGGATATCAAAAAATTGATCAATGACGATCCTCGTTATTTGAAATATAATGATTCGGACAAATGCGAACGCGAATTCCACGATTACATGGTTGGCAAAACCATTTCGGCTAAAGTTGATCTGAAAGAATGTAAGCTTATCACACATAAAAGTATCGAATTGGTCAAAGACAATCCAAATCATCTTAAAGAGATTAAGGATATTTTAAAAGTGGATAAAAGGTAGCAGAAATTATCACATTTTTCTTACCTTTCCCACTTTTAACTGTGATAATTTTTCTTTAGATATTTGTTGTTGGATTATTTAGTTGAAGAACGGACTAATATAGTGCTGGATTATTTGGAGGAATTACAAAAATGTGGTCCCCCGCCGTCGCCAAGTGCTTCGGTCATCGCACGGCGCAAATAATAATCAAATAATATACAATATTTAATTTTAAGGATATAATATAATATTTACTCATATCAACACACAAACAGACGTAACACAATGCGAATTCTAGTGTAATCAATATAAATAATCAATATTTTACTTTGACTTCAATAACTTAAATGTTAGTTTGTTAGTTTCAAAAAGTTCACGAATTCGAAATATATTTAAAGCGATTGTGGCAACAAAGGATAGTTTAGGGTAGGAGCAATTAATTATTTTCTTTTTGCATGTTGAACAAAAAAGTTATCTGCTCCACTTTGATGGGCGATCATTGACATAACGAGTACTTACTTGCTTTCTTACGGGATTAATTGTAATTGATTAGAAATTAAACCTTCTTCAAAGGACATGACATTTAAGTGATGAAAATAAATGTATTTCTCAAATGTGTTATAATTTTTGATTCTTGTACTATTCAAAATTAAAATCACTGCTGAGCAGCGCAGCTGCTCCGTCCGAAAATTCAATTTCCATTGAATCGACGACCGTCCATTCATTGTCATGAATATTATAACGTTCTACAGCTTTAACGTATTCCGAAATTTGGGACGTTTTTTTTAATTCCCCACCAAATACATAAATATCATCCGCTAGGATAGCAGCTGAAAAATTTGCTCTTTTGGTAAGCATAGATGGTATCGATTGCCATTCTTTATTGCGTACGTCAAGGCTTGTGCCGTCTTCCGTAACACAAAACAATGAGCGGCCATAAGAGACTAATTCAAACCGTTCCTCTGGGTGCAGGCCTCGCGGCATTTCATTGAATTTGTACCATTCACCTTCCCTCGGGTCAAAACGAATACAAGCAGTGATCCCATCGCTTCCACGACCCAAACTGTATATGCTATTCTCCATCGAAGCTGCGCGATTGCAAAAAATGTAATTTTCAGGGGTGTTTGCACAAGTGCACCACTTGCCGGTTGCAGGCGTGTAATTTTCGACACTTGAATTTTGATAACCACCGACAACGTAAATAACATCCTTGTAAGCACACATGCCAAAGTTGTAGCGAGCATTGTTCATAGATGCAATGCTGCTCCACTTCTTGCTCGACGAAGAATAGATTTCTGCGCTTGTTAAAGGGCCATTGGCATATCCACCTACTGAATATAACACACCTTCTAATGATATTAAAGAATGTGCCCATCTATAACTATTCATGTTGCCCATAGGAAATATTTTGCTGTTAATTATATCGTAAACATTACAGGCAAAACGCGCTGACTTAGTCTTTAAATCTACACCGCCAGCGAGCATTATTTTAAACTTTTCATTCCGATTTTTTGGCGACTTTTTGGTCTCATTCCAAAATAATGATCGCCTGATTACTGGAGTTGTTTGATAAGCGAAAGCTTGAATTAAAAATTGATTACATTGTAGATCATCCTTAAGTAGAGTTTCATTAGCAATACGGTCTCTTAAAAATTCAGTTCTAACAAAAGCAAATGGAATGAGTTCCATTAAGTCGGTGAGATGAACTTTTCGTTCCTCTATATTATATGTTATCCAGTTAGCTGCGGCTTTATATGAATTATCTTCGAATTTTACGGACAGTTGTTCATCCATTAATAACTCACGAATCTGAAATGAATATGCAATGGAAGATGGCGAATTAGGTTGATATTGAATTTGAGTCAAGCATATAATTCGTATGTAAAAAATACTGCATGAAATATACACATTATATGGTTCGCTAGTAAGTACTGTCAAGGAATAAAGGACGAGCAGATCTTTCTTTAGGAGTTAAAGTGTTATTCTTAGAAGAGAGAACTTCTTATATCGTCTAATAAATAATGCGGGATTCTAATACAAGATTTTATATGTAGTGATTACATAAATATAAAAATACGCTTCGTCAGAGATAGCGAAGAGTAGATCTAATGCTTGCTAGTCTTCGTTACGTTTTAATTAAATATGTTTTCGAAACTGGAGGAACATTGTGTACCCTACACCACTTATGATACAAGGATAAAAGTGATTTGTGCGGAAGTATGCAACTACAAGGCCCAAGAACAAACGCTAATGAAAATTGTTTCAATCGGATCACTTTCTCCAGAACCACTTATTTCGAAAAGTTGATATATGAATGACTGTAGGACGGTGTGGGATATTTAATGTAACGCGCTGTAACGTTCTTACTTGTTTCTTTAAGTAAATATGATTTTTCGAAATTATGGAAATTATCTCCTGAACTACTAAGAACTAGAGAATGCAAAAGAAGGAATATTCCAGCAAAATTTGTGAAGTTTTCGCGCAGTAACTGTAAAAATACGTAAAGGGACAAATAGAAATGGTTCAATGATCCCGTACACGAGGTATATATATGTCCCCATGATGGATATAAAAAAAGCGGGCGAAAATTCTATCTTTCAAGTTATCGAACTGTCCAACAACAACTGTTAAGACATATTATCTAATAGAACCTCAACTTAGATTATTCAACTTTGAACACAAGACTACGCTAATCTAATCTAATGTAAAGGCATACCAAGCTTTATGGGAATAATTTCGATTAACGACCCACTGTTGTTTTTTTGTTTTTTAATTTACTTGATCATGAGAACAATGGAGTTTCGCGTACCTCTTCAAATGACAGCTGCAATAATCCCTCCTGATTAATTAGTTTATCAAATTGGTTTAAAACATATTTGTGGCTATAATCATACAGTTCCTTAAAAGATGACTTATCTGAAATATATTAAATATTTGTACGATTACCACACTTGTTGATGTTTTTCTCCGCACTTACCAGCAAATTTACGTATCTGCAAACAATTATTTGGCTTCAAATTGCTTTTAAGAAATTCCATGCACTGTTTCTTTGCCCATTCTATCTGAAAAAAGTCGGACATTGAAGCCACCGACAGAATATTATTTTCCGTTAGAACAAGTTTTCCGCCGTATATATAATCAACAATAATTTTCACAGCAGTGGCTTCCTTCTTATCCAATTTAAGTCGGGCCTCTGCTTTCTCCTTCATATCGCCTGCAAAATTTTGAAGATATTCAATAATTCAATGGGCAACATTGGCAAAGTACTTACAATTGAACATTGTTGCGAAAAATGGAGAAGCAATCGCAAGGGCCACCCTATGGACATAGATAATTTCGTCTCCTACTTCCAACGAGAAATCGCAGTACTGTGAAATTCAATTGTCGCTTATTAGATTCTACCAGCACAGGTTATACAATATCACGCTTACCTCCTTATTCTGACGTAATTTACTTAAAGTATCGAAGAAAGAGTTAAAATAATCCGAATTCTCAAAATTCTCTTCAGCAATTTGTTCTACTCTTTCGTTGTCCATATCTTGCTGAAAGTCGAAGTTAAAGATAAGATATATTAATTTAATAATAATTTGGTGATAATAATTTAGAACAAAATATTGTAATGCATTTCTACTGAGAATGGTTGCGGATAAAATTGGCGATCCTAAAATAGGTTAATTACAAGAATATTATATTGCTCGTCTGTCTCTCTCTCTCTCTCTCTCCTGTTGTCGCCTAATGTGCTTAGAGTTTTTTAATTGTTTGTACCCACTTTTTCCAATCAAGACAGCATAGCTAAAGCATCAATCATTATCGAAACAAAATCTCGACCCCAAGAGTTCAGTTTAAAAATGTAAAGAAAATTTGCTTCTATTGGTTACTTTGGATTTTATTCTTGTTAGGTATTTCTTTTCTCTATACTCTTCTAGTTACCTTTCTTTTAGGTTTTGCTTTAGACTTGAACTCTATTCAAAGCTTTTAGGCTTCTTTTAATACGAAAGAAGTAACGCTACCTTTAGATTTTGCTTTAGACTTGGAACTGTTACTCTAAGCCGTTCACAATCAGTATATGCTTTATGGCTAATTACTTTCCTCTTTTCTCTCCTCCTTCCAATAGTTAAATAACTTAACAAACAATCTGAATCCGTGAAAGAGCGAGTCCGAATTTGATGATCACTTGTAGCATTACAATTGCGACTCTCTATTTGGAAGCAACTGAGAATAATTCAAAGAGCGAGTTTGAGTTTGGTGCAAATTGAGAAAATATTGAAAAATTGAAAATTAAAGCAAGAAGCAAAATGCATTGTTTGCTTATCGGCCATGTTAAGAGAACAAAAACAAAGTAAATGTAAAAGAAGAAATGTACAGTTCGTTAAGTGCTGCAGTGTCATACGTGAAAAAAAACACTTGACTTGAACTGTAAAATATTATCAAAAATGAAGTTGTTCTCTCATTGTCAAGATTTCATCATATTTAACATAGCAATGTGCATGCAAACGAGAAAGAATCCTCTCTCCCCCTCCTGCTCACTCTTTTGTCGAGATATTACTCTTTATAAAAATTTACGTGTGCTTTCCCTTATAATAGATAGAGAAATTTATGTGTACCACGTTTTGTAATTATTTGCAAAACTTGATCAAATTTCCATTTCCAATTTTTATACTTACACTTTTAATTGTTATTTTTAATTTATCTTTCCACGAAAATTTAAAAATCCAATTCTAAATGAATCCTACTTATTTTTACTCTTTACTTTCTTTGGATGTGATGAACCAGGCAGCGACTATTCCACTTATTCAATTCAAATGATACGCACTTTACTTTACTTTCGCTAGCGTTGCCATTTATTTTAATAATAGAAAAGACGAACGATGTTGCCAGCCAATAAAAACGTTGGAATGAAATATAGAAATGTTGGACAAATGTGAGAAATGGTTAGAATATGTGTAATGAAATTGATTCCTTGTAGGATATTCTTCTTTTGTCGTGGTATAAAGTGTATTAATATAAGGTTGTGCGGATATATGCAACACCCAGAAGGACTGGAGCTAAGTGCATCTTTTATTTTACCGATTAATCCAGAAAGCGATTCCGGATCGTTCGATTCTCTGGCTTCTCAGCAATGCAATATAAAAATGGGGAAGAACTTGTTCACGATTTAATGCTAATTATGTTGTGTGGTGCAGGGTATATACGTAGGACTTGAGATAGATCCACCTTTTATTTCATCGGTCGATTAAGATTCGCTTTCTGAATCACTTTCTAAACTGATCTAAGCTTGTCTGACGTCCGTCCATGCATTCTTGTGTTCATCTTACACGTCGCAAGTTTTGAAATACATTGGGCCAAAGACGAGTGTTACTGAAAATAGTTCGAATGGGATCACCTACTCGAGAGCTTCCTGTATGACGCCTTAATTTCAAGAGCCGCTATACATGGGTAGTTGCGTGTAGAGTTTTTGCTTCTTGTGCATGCAAATGTGTCACCAGTGGTGGCTCGTATGGTGACAAATCAATCGCACAACGTGGAGAATGTTTGAAAAAACTGTCCAATCCGAATCCGTTTTCATAGCATCCATACTTCCAAATATGTCGATGTACCAAATTTCCAAAAAAATATCTCAAAAATGTTTACGTGTAAGTTGAGCGCAAGGATACACGGGCAGATATCAAAACGACAGAGAGACATACAAACTTAATGGCTCCATATAAGTCCTTCTGGGTTTCACGTATATCCGCATAAAGCTTGTGTACATAGCATTTCTGCTTTTGTCGTTAAGGAAAGAAAGGGTCGTGGGATATGCTAAACGTGGGCAAGGAAGACATTTCAGGTAGTGAGTATTAGACTTCCAGGACATTGGTAGAGTTCTAAAGGCCTTTGCTACATAGGATTAATAGTTTTCGCTCTTGTTTCACTTTGAAAAGCATTTCTTAAAAACGAAAGCACTTAAGATTTATTTATATATAATTGCAATTTATAAAAACTTTGTAAAGAAAAAAAGAAGAAGCGCATTTATCTGATAACTCACACTATACCATTCCAATATAAACGCATTGAAAGATTTTCATAGCAATTGTTACAAGGGATGTCGCATTATTCATCGTCGTCATCATTATCGTCGTCATCATTATCGTCGTCATCATTATCGTCATCATCGTCACTAGTGTCTGTATGATCCTCTTTATCGGTATCTGTATCGCTATCTATATCGCTATCTGTATCTTTATCTTCATTTTCATCTTCATCTTCATTGGTATCCGCATCTTTGTCATTGCATTTTTTTTTCTTTTCTTGTTGTCGTTTATCATTTTTAGCCAATGGTACACGACGGATGATGCGCCTTCGTCGCATTATATTTTCTGTGGCGTTTAATGATTTTCTCTCGTAATCCATAGGGGACACATTTTCTTTTGATAATAACCTAAGACGTGAACATTTTCGGGGATCGGGGGGCGGATATCGTCGCTGCGAATCTTTTTCAATTAAATTGACCTATGATCCAAAAACGAACCAAAAATTAAAATCACTTATTCACTTTCGTGGCAAATCGCTTACTTTTGATGAGATCGTGTCTGCAAGGGCGGTGTTCGTGTTAGTATACATTTCTCCGCCATGTTGTAATAATCGTCTAAAGTTATTTAACGGATGAACCGACTGATGAGTACGCAAATAGTTCAGATAAGTTGATTTTGATGGTGAGGGCTTAAGGCGTTTTCGACATCCCGATTTTTTCGATTCCTTTTTAGAAGATTTCCATGCCATCTTTTTACAATTTTATCAATTTTCTTTTTCTTTTTTTTTGTAATTTTTATTTCGGAGGTTATATCACACAAGAAATTTAAATTTATTTCTATACTAATAACAAAGAAGTTCAGTAATAAAAAAACAATTTTTTCTTGGGTAAATTTTTATTTATTTTTTTTATTTCTATTCAAATGGTGAACACAATCAGCTCACTTGTACTGCATGACAGCACGTTGCGGTTTAAAAATATTTAAAGCATCTTTCAAGCACATATTACGTAATTCGAAGGCTTAGCTTAGGCTTTAATTTTATTCAAATTTCAAAGAAAGTCTTGGGAAATTGCTTTTAATGGCTCGCTTCTTTTCTTATTCTCAAGAATTCGAATCATTTCTGGTGCGCTGAAAGGTACTGGAATATGGATATATACGACCAACATATATTTCTTACATTTTACCCTTTAATATGACAAAAACCTGCCATGAGGTCATTCAATGCTTAGGAATAGTATGTCAAGCGATTCTCAAAACCGCTTCCGATTCAACGTGTCTAAATGAAAGACTGCGTATTCAAAGGCGTCTTCATCATTCTTATATGAAAAGTTTGAAGCTTTGAAGCACAGTAAAGGGGAAATCCCCCTTTTAAATAATATTATAATATTATGACTGATAGAAAAGAGTGAATATCTTGCTCAAGGTCGTAACCACAAAAATGTGTGACTTATGTTTGCCTTTGGATTATAAATCTCATCACATTGATAAAACATCACATGTTATAACTTAAAAATTAAATTCTACCTTTCGTGAGATCTATAATGCATAGTATGCTACAAGCATCTAGAAGCTGATGCTATTGTCAATCAGGCAGGAAAGGTTCTACTAGTAAGAGCCTTACTTTACTTTGCCTGCTTAGGGAGAATTCCTGTTGTTTGCTGTCTCAAGGCGACATATCAGCATATAATAGGGAAAAAACGTCCCTTCGGGATCACTACTACATCAGCCTTTCTTTTAACTCTGGAAGAAGTCTGGGTCACATTTTAAATCGAAATTTTTTAGTTATAGTTCGTGTAAGAGCCCTGCAAGTCACAGCTTGTCCTCTTTTGTGGACGACTCTAAAAACATTAGTTAGTTAACATTCCTTACCGAACATTGTTACAGTTTCTATCTTCTGCGGTGATGAAGGGATCACAAAAGCTTTCAAACTGAACTACGTGAAATACGGTTGTGTACCTTCTTACCTCTTTCGCTTTATGAAAATCGCTTAAACTTAATGAACTTACCGACGCTTGAGAAAACAAGGCACATGTTAGGAATGACCTTCGTGTTTAAACTAATAAAGGGGGACGTTAGTTTCCTATTTTTCCCCAGTCAGTTTTTTTTAAACGCCCCGTCTCGCTTCTCTAGTAATTATGATCTAATTAGGCTCCCTCAGTGCCGTGCAAATTATGAGCTTTTTTCTCCGTTTCGGGTTGTTTGTCAAAATTTGAATGCCTTTTATACGCACATTCCGTTTTCAGGTACGGTAATCTCCTGCCAGTTGTGCACCTTATTGTAGGGTTGTAGAGTTAATTTCAACTATTAACGATGGATTCAGGTTGAGAAAGCATCGGCGCCTTAACACATGGGCTATCTGTTTAATTCTGTATCAGTTTTTCACGCTCGTATTTTTCTTAACTTTTGCTTTTGTTTTATCTTTTGAATTTACATTCATTGAATTATGTTTTTATTTATGTACATTAACTGTATAGCTTAGCTAATAATATTTTATACATAAATGAATAAATAAATCTCTGCCCTTTGGCAGTGGACAGTAAATATCACAGAACAGAAATTTCTTCGTCTTCTCCTTTGCCTGCAAAGGCATAGAGGTGTGTTTAAGTGAAATCAATATTAATAAAGAAATTTGTTTTGATTTTCTCACATTTATTTAATAAAAAAAAAAAAAAAAATTCAATAAAAATATTTATCTATAACAATAAGAGAGAAAATTTTTTAAAAATATCAAAAAACTTTAGAAACATGTAGAAAATGTTTTTAGTAAAAGGATAAAATTCTTATAGTTTCCACTAAAGAAAATAAAATACTTTTAATAAATCGATAATAAATAATAGTAAAAATAAAGGCCTGAGTACGGGATACAAAAGGTAAAAGGGCAAAAAGCAATTGCTTCTCTAAAGAAATTCTCATAAAAATGTATTAAATATATTTTTTGTATTTGTTTTTCTTTCAATTCTTTTCAAAAAATATCTCCTTAGTCATGCTTCTGCTCAGGCTGCAAATCGAACCAACTGTTTAAACCATTTTCAATAATATCCGTCTCATTAAGAGATATTTTTAACTGAAAAACAAAGAAAAAAAAATCATTTTATTAGGTTTTGTCAAAATAAAAAAAAATATTTGACAAAATGTACGTGGAACGCTTCACGATTTTGCGTGTCATCCTTGCGCAGGGGCCATGCTAATCTTCTCTGTATCGTTCCAATTTTAGTATATGTTCTGCCGTAGCAAGAACAATTCTGTCGTTTTACGCAAGGTATTTATATAAACTTTTACTATAAAAGTTATCTGAGAATTATGTGGCAAGCAATTACAATGAATTGAAAATAAACATTTGTTACCCTTAATTAATGTATGTTATACGAATACGGAATAGTGTGAGTGTAAAGAAAATATGTATAAAAAGTTTGTGCGTTTTAAGTGCTTGCTGTGGGCCGTTTTTCAATTGTAGTAAGTAAAGAAAATAAGCAGGAAAATTATATTCGGTCATGACTGGATCTTTTCATAACCATCACTGTTATCCTAAATAAGACAAGAAAAGTAAAAGAACTTAATTTTCGTGCTTTATAATATAAAGCGGGCGTGGTTAATTTTTTCTATTTTTAAAATAAAGGTCGCATAGGCGTGTGGACGTTTTAGGTGCGTCCTATGAAAAGTTTAAGTCACTTCCTAATTCAGGAGAATATCTACAACAGATATTATACAGACGGACAGACAGTCATGCTTAAACCGATTTAGAATTTGATGCTAATCAAGAATATATACACTTTGTGGAATCTTTTAGCTTCGCTCTGGGCAGTGCGAACTTTCATCCTTTGGCGATGGGTAGACAAAGAAGCGGGTTCAAATCCCAGGTTAACAAATTAATTTTTTATTGTAATCTTTTTTTTTTAATTTTCTTTTTTAGATGATCTCTATGCTATTTCACCAATTTCTCTATGAAAGCTCTGATAATATTGTATTATAATTTTTCGATTTATGAACAGGGGCTTTTAACATTCTACTTACCATTCCAATTATAGGGCTACCACCCAATAAGAAGCCTTTTTGCGTGCACACAGTCACTTCTAGTTCGCTTTGCATTAGCTCAGCCATTGAGATAAGATATTCGAAAGTGGCATCATAAACGGGATTACAATTATCTTTAACTACCACTGTTTTACGTTTCGATTCTTTGCTGCGACCCGGTAATAAATACAACTTAACATATGGATCGGGTATATTAGTGGGATCACGTAGCGGTATATTCATTATCTTATGTATGGTAATGAACAGTTTTTGCCTTTGAACCATATAATGTATACTTAGTTGTATACGTCCTAAACCATTTTCACCGGCCGAAGAGGTAATGTCAGGAAAACGATGTGTCAATTGTGAATCACCAGAGCCAGCTAAATTTGCGTTAAACAATTTAGGGCTACGTGTCGGTGTAGTGGAGAGATTCATAGTATCGGAGCTGACTTTTAAAGCGATTGGTTCTTCTTCCGTTAAAGGTGATTCTGAGGAAAGTCGACTAGATTGTGACTGAATATCCTAAAAAATAGAGAGATTAAAGTGAAAAAATTTTGATTTGCATTGCGATTTATTTAAAGAGTTACCCTTAAAGAACCCTTGTCCTGTGCACTGGGTGATTGTTTTACTGATGCTGCTCGTGCTAGTTGCGAAATTGTTGATGCTTCACTAGTAACATCTGTATCCTCAACAATATCTACTTTTTTTAGAATGCGCAAAGCCAATGACATAATCAATTTCGAATCAGGACCAGATTTTTGTAGTTGAAATGGTTGTGATACCATTTCCATATTCTCTTTATTCATTAAGCAGGCAATTACATAACCATATTGCCCAATCTCGAGGCCAGTTTTTTGATCATAAATCTTAATTTGCAATGTATCATTGTCGGGATTACCTACTAAAAAAGTGAAACCCTGTTCCCAGACAGGTGAATCGTCACGCATAATCATGGCCGTTTGTTGTTTCTGCTTGCCGACGCTGCATACCAAATATGGATCAGGACGGGCATTCGATCGAGCCGATTTTAGATGACGAGCTGAGTCAATAAAAACAATAAGCAAAGCAGTACTCATCGAAGTTACACGCAGTAATTGGGTCTCCATAAGAGCAGCTTGAAGATCTGCGGGTTCAGCGGTTAATTTATACCACTGTAGGCGTACATGTAGTAAACCGTGTTTAGCTTCTTCTAAAGTAAGCCACTAAAAAAGAAAAAATAAAATAGAAATGTGAGTCATAACGAAAAAAAAAAAAAAAAATTCGATATACAGGACTTACCGTATCCACTACACCTCTTTTAACCACATTTACAATTTCGATAGTGGCCCTGAAAATGTTTAATAGATTTTTTTTTGTTTTTTTTTTTTTATTAATAATTTTTGTTTTCTTTAAGGGTAATTTTTTAAAAGGAAATTTATTAATTAGTATTAATTTTTCTAGTAAAGAGAGATATATCGAAATTAAGAAAATTTTTCAAGTTTAACTTATGATCTTATGGGGAAATAATGCGAACGATTTTAAAAGTTTTTGTTAAAGAAAACGATACTAATTGGAGCAGGTGTTACTAGACATTTATGTAATGGTAATGACACAAAGGCTACTTGTAGGTGAATTTTATTTTAAATCATTCCGATTTGCATGCACATAAGCAAAAGGTCTAGAATTAAATACAGTCCTTGCACTGAAGTCATTAAAGTATTGGAGTAAAGTATTAACATAAACAAAGTTTATGGGGATGCGAAGACACATAAACGAGGAACCGAAATCGAAATTTGATTTATTCGTAATGCAAGGTAAGACTAAGATATGAAGGCATAATTAGATTAAGTATAAGCCATAAATTGTAGGCTGTTATTAATATAGTGTTGTCGCATTCGTTTTTACTGCGTTCGAAGTGGTATCGTGTGACATATCGGTCTTGGTTCTTTTGACGTTTCGATTTATCACAGTTTAAGATTAAAAAGTCAATTGCTGAACCATGTCCGCTCCGGTAATAATTGCAAATTTTCATTCCTATGAGCTTTCGATTTTTACAAAACCCCCGCGCTACAATATCGATGTTGTACTCAAAGAAGAACCACGTTGAGGAAGACGGCCAGCACTAAACTGACGAAAACAACAGCAAAGTCAAAAAGCTTATACTTGTCAATCGGTGATTGACTCAGAGCGATCTTGTAAACAATGCTGCAATGCAAGCAATGTTGAAGGATGTCTATGAATAAAAAAAAAATAACGCCGCTATTACTAATCCAACAGGGTTCCTGTGTGAACATTTATATTACAAACCGACCTTGGAAAACCTAGTATAACCCCACCTTTGGGCAATCTTTATGCCTACTTCTTATGAATTAAGCTGAAGGCAAGCGAAAGAATCCAGGTATTCCTAAACATTATTCTATTTTGCAAGTAGTAGGAATAAAAATCTTCTAGAATATATTTTTGGAATTTTCTGGGATTTCAAATTAGGTTTTTCAATTTCGGACGGGCTAGAACAGCGGATCTGGCGGTCATATTTTATGCAATAAAGACGAAATAATATACTTGAAATGTTGGCGAATGTTGGCAAAGACTAGCATCCCACGATCGGAAAAAATCTGGTATAACCACAACTTTAAGCTGACGATAAGCGGGAGAATCCAGGTTTTTCTAAAACTTTTTCTAAATAATCAAACATTGCTAGTTTTAAGGAAAACAGTTTGGTAGAATATTTATCTGGGACTTTCACGGATTTCAAATTGGGTTTTCGATTTCGGACGGGCTAGGTCAGCGGATCTAGCGATCACATTTTATGCAATGAAGAAGAAAAGCGGGTATTGGCAAAGGTAGCGCCTCACGAACGAAATAAAAATCTGGTAAAACCAAAACTTTACCCGATGATTATGGAAATTTTTATTTCTAGTTCTTTTAAAATAAGCTGACGATAACCGGGAGAAACCAGGTTTCTTAAATGATCATTTACATAATAACATTTTGCTCCGTGCTTCGAATTCAACCGAGAATATTTCTTTGGGAATTTCAGGAATTCCAACGGACCTATCTATCGCATTTTACATAGTTCCATTATTCCAATGAATTTTTTAGGAACTTTTCCAAAATTTTAAGGGAGAAGATAAATATATGTAATCCAGGTTTAAGAAAACTTTGAAAAAAAAGGTGCTTTACGTTCAGGCTGTGGCCTTTAAAGTAGCAAAACTTTTTGTCACTTCATCAGAGAAACACGCTAAGGTATAATCAAGTCTTCTTTCAACCTCGTTATTAGCTACATACAGCGAAATACTACAATTGAAATGAAGGGGACCCAAGGGATGACTGCTTATGACTCGCAGGTGTGTTTGAATAGTGCAAGAAGAAGTTGACTGTTTGTGACGCTTAAAAAGGGCAAAACGAAAGTGGCCTTCGATATCCGAGTGTGAAATGATCGCCGAAGTCGCAATCTCGGCTGAGATGATAATAAAAATATGAAAGTATTGATTAAAATCGTGATTCGCAAGATTTTCGCCAAAGAATTTATTCCAACAGTAAAATTGTAGTCCATTTGTTCCCCAACTTTGAATTGGGACCGAATAATTGCTTGCCTTAGACCTTGGACGGCAAAAAAACGAGCTAATCTACGTCAATATGCTTCGAGTTCGCTTGATTTATCTTTTTTATTCTTGGAATATAGAGGCCATGGAAGAAATTTTTTATTATAATTTTATACCAGTTCAAAAACTGCAATTAGGGTCAGGTTATTAGAACGGTTCTAGAAAAATCTTTAAAAAAGCGTATGCTAGAATTTCGGTGGAAAGTATCACTATACCCGTTTATTAAAAAGAGTGGTGGATGGTAAATTGTGACGAGTAATGGAAAATGAATACGGTACACACCGCATAAATATCTAATATAAGGCAAGTGAATTATTCGTCTCAATGATAAACTCGAATATTTGTGGCGTGAAGCTTATGGTATGTACTAAGTATATATCTAATGTTTTACGAGGTGGTACACATGACAAGACCATTTCTCATATAATGTAAAACCCCTTTGGGAACCGCAGCAGCTCTGACATGGAATTCCCACCCCCATAAGTTTGCTGCTTATTTTAATCAATAATTGATAGGCTATATATCCTCTCATGCGTAAATTTGGGAAACTTGCCGTCTCCTAAATACATAACTCCTATGCAGCCAAAGAAGATTAGAAAAAATAATATTACGAATAAAATACTTTGCACTCTGTAAAACGAAAGTCAAAAAATATTTGGTGATTGCGGACTTTTCCAAGACGGTTTCAGTTTAACCATTCTTGTTTTACTTTGGTGTATCAATTAATCCATCAATTCATTCGTTCTTTCAAGTCAAGTCAAGATTTTTATCTTCAACGGACAGATACGTCTTCATTCGTCTATTGATTTTCACATGGAACATTTTAGCCTTTATCTTTCGGTAGTGGATAGAAAAATGCAACCCTGTTTTCATATGAAATGATTCGAGTAGAAAAACCAGGAGAGAATCTCCTTAGAGAAAGCTATTTATCTAATAAGAAGAAGAAAAAAAGAAAAAAGAGTCAAAGAATGATGAAGAGTAATAAATTAATAAATATAAAAAATTGTTGTGGGTTTGTCAGATATAGCAAAAAAAAAAAAAAAAATTTATTTTTCAACTACATTTTTATAATAAAAATTCTTCAAATTTATAAGCACTTTTTTTTTTTTTATAAATATTGTAAAGTCTTCACCTTCCTAATGACTCATCATCACCGGTACGATCCCAATCGAAGAGACGACAATTGATTACAGTATGCTGAGTATCTTCCACCACCGCCTTTATATAAAAAAAATTGTGTTTTTTAAAATGCATTAAACGGTAAGTGTAAGCAATTAATTAAGGGTAGCAAGGGTAGGGAAGAAGAACAAAAAATCTTTTTTTTTTTTAAATCAAAATTTGTAACGCTTTTTCAGTGCATATATAAAATTGTTTTCAGCAAGCGTGACGAAGAGAGCATAAAACGCGTGTGTAATACATCACATAAAAACATGCTTTACGTGCTTGATTTTGATAAACGGAAATGGAGAGAGAGAGAGAGAGAGAGAGAGTGAGAGTGAAGTATGGAAGGAGGACCATTGTAGTGAAGAAAACATGCTCTGATAACGGAAGGAACTGCCGAATATCCTCGGGGGTTTATTAAGCTTGCGGCTCTGGTGAACTCTATAAATGAAGGCAAGGCTGTATATGAGATTCAGTGAAGATAGTTGCTCTTCTTTCCCTTACACTTAAGCTTCATGAGTAAGTTTATAATGTTTTATTTTGTTTTCCTTTCTGAAAGCTTTGTGTTTTTTCGGTTCTTAAGTTTATTGGATGCCTGATAAGGTAACCATAGGTTGCATTCTTTTTTTATTAGTTATGATTAGAAAATATCATCGATATTCTATATTTGAAACTTCCATTCGTCCAAAGAGAAGAAAGCTTATTTTGTGCTTGTTTTGTTTCCCATATTCGTTTCGTCCTTTTTTCTATTTCGCGAAGCAGGCATCGTAAATATTAGCAATCAACTTGTGTTGCATTGCATTTTTGTGATTTTTCAAAGGTGTGTCTTCGAGACATCAAAGGGGCACTTCCGTCAACACTTGAAAAATCCTGATGTTGTAATTAAAAGCCAAGAATGTTTAGAGCGATCAGAAAGGGAACATAGCTTGGGTAGCATGCGAAACTTTTACATAATTTTAATAAAGAAAGATTTAAGAACAATGGACTTGAATTTAGTGACCATGGTTGTTCTTGCAGAAACAATCTCTTTCTCGGCAACCGAAGGAAATGTTTTTACTTTTTGTATAATATTGCGACTGGTGATGAAGAGTGGATTCAGTACGACCAATTGGGGGTAAAAACTATTTGATCTAAGCCCGCTCATAGAAAGCTATCCCTACCACCATCAAACTTTTCAATAACCCTTTGTTTGTGTTGGCATTATTTGAGCGTAGCGTTATTGAGGTTTTTAAAACGATGAGTGCCGGACAGTATTATGAGAAAATAGATCGTAAGTTGAAGTTGAATTTGCCAAGCTTGAAGATACTTTCGGGGGCATTATGGCAGACATTATCTTATTAAACCGTGCAAAGAGACCTAACACCTTCTAGTTTCGCCTTCATTTCGATCAGGACGTTCGGATACAACTCCTTCTAATTGCGGTTACTTTGATCAATTTAGAACAATAAGCCAGATCAGCGGATCAGTTTGCTTGGACACAGCTCGTTCTAATTTCCGTTTGTTTGCGACGATAGATTCAACACAATCTGCCGGATTAACGTGAAAAAGGACGCAAGAGATTACAGGGGCTGAAATGCAGAGACATAAATAGTGAGATTGGTGGAGAGAGACAGACAGAGGTAGATATATATATATATATATATATATAGGCAGAAAGAGAGATAGAGGTAGACAGACAGATAGAGAGAGAGGGAGAGAAAAGTATACAGAAAAAGATAAAGCTAGAGAGAGATGCTGCTACATATCTAGATTAGTAGTAAAAAGAGTAGATCAATAATTGCCAGATGCTAATTGGTGCATTGCTCGTATCAGGTTTCAATTTTAAAACAAATAAAAATACGGTACTGGGCGACGGTCCACCATTAAATACTCTACCTCCCATGCTTTATTCATTCATATAATGTGTTTTCTAAACAACGCTTTAACTGAGAAATTTTGAGGATTGAAAAAGTGGCTTGATCAATAACTTTCGTCTTTGGGACGGAACACATCGCCGTACCAAATTTCCTCAAACTATCTCGAAAACTGTATGTAAGTTAAACAAAACGGATCAGCGGATCGATGGACATACAAGCTTAGAATCACTTGTACAATCGATTGGTGCAACAAAACGTGCAGACTGGCAGACAAGCTTCGATAGGTTAAGGAAATGATTCTGAGTCGACTGGTATTATAAAAGACGGATGGTTCTCCGGTTTATCTGAGTGTTATGCATATCCGCACAAACTTAATATACCCGTGCCACATGTGGTTTGTGGTATAACCAGCTGCTAATATTTTCTATACATAAGATGACTTTCGATTCAGTTTGAAGAATTTAAAGGTAAAATTATTCCTTCAGCGACACTCGGAGCCATATCTAAAAGGCTTCTGAAACTCCCACCTATAAATATGTAAATGATTTCAAAAATGGGATATAAAAAAAAAATTGAAATTGTTGTATAATAGAACTCAAAGCAAAGCCATCATGCATAGAAATAAAACAAAAAAAAGAAAATAGAAGAAGAAAAGCTTAAAAAACCCAATTAGTGCTCTCGATCAGGTGAATGAGAAAGTAAAACATTCCGAATACATTGTTAGAAAGGCTTTCTTGGTGTTATACAACCTGCCCAAAGGATCATCATTTTGCACACCGGGTAAACCTTGATCACAGTCCCATAAATTGAAGCATACTTCTTGACCTATAGCAGAATTAACAATCGCCTAAAATGCGTTCAATATACACAACAGAGACGAACTTATTATATTTTACGTATATGATAAGTGTAGAGACATCATAGGTTATGGTTTCCGAAAGCAGTTAGTAAAAGCTTTTTAAGGCTTGAATCATTTTTTTTTTTTTTTTGAAAATAACGGTAACGATAAAAGAGAGATGATTACTCACGTATAATAAGCAGTTGAGGAGGTAATACAAATCTTAGACGGGAGAAGAGATAAGACTTAATTTCAATTATAATTTTGAAAGGCAAGGTTTCTGTTTTCATTACATCCATCCGAAGGTCAATAACACCCTTTTTTTTCCTTTTCTACATATAAGTAAACTTTTCTTTCTACTTGAACGATTTAAGCTACGTTAGTTACACTGCGAGCTTAGGTTACGTTACGAAACTCTACTTGTTTATTAATTTTATATCTAAGCTTTAACTTAAGGAAAGTTAAAGATTTTGTAAAGACTTTTTGTAAGTTGTAACTTACCTTCCTAAAGGTTCATCCTTTCGGGTTTCATCGGCATCGAACAATTGAAATTCAACATATTGACCCAATTCAACATATACTTGAGCCTGTTTGTTTGTATTTTTTTTTTGTTTTTTTTTTTTTTTGTATAAAGTGAAAAGTTTAACGAAATGTATGACGTTATAGTACAAAAGGAGGAGCAAAGTGTTTATAAATTTAGTTGAAACAGATTAAAATAAAATAAAGAAAAAAAAAAAAAATTGAAAAATAACAAATAAACAAAAGATTGGCAAAGAAAAAAATTAACCATGCAAAAAAGAAAAAAAAAAAAAATGAAAAAAGAAAGAAACATCTAAACAATTTCTCATAAGAAAAGGCTAAAGCCAGCTGCTGTCTAACAGAATGCAAAAAAGTTTTCCTAAATCTCATAAACACTTACCTCGCACCAATAATCCCATTTGGGATTAACATTGTTGTCGATTATTTGGGTTTTGAACTCTTGAGAGCCGACATTAACTATGGCATAAGGATCAGATTTACCTTTGCCCAGCATACCGATGTCTTTCTTCATCAGATCTTTGGCCTCCACAACGTGAATACGTAAAATGCCCTTTAAAATTGAAAGCAAATATCATTATTTTAATCATATCTTTTATTCCTTTAATTGTACTCTATACAAGGTATATTAAAGTTGTCGAGAAGTATGTAACATCCAGGGCTTAAGGTAAATCCACCTTATATTTTATTATACCGATCAGAAGCAAAGACATTTTCTGAATCGTCCTAAGCTGGTGTCTCCGTCTGTCCGGGTATCCCCACTCTGGTGTTCGACCTACTAGGTCGTAATTCTCAAAATATTTTGATGAAATTCAGTAGAATGACGTATCGTGATCGAAGAACAAACCCTGTTGAAAACGTTTCAGATCGGAAAACTTTTTCGACCACTTTCTATGTAATCTTTTTTTTTTGAAGAGGCCCTTTATTATAGCTGTAGGGTAGAATAGGGTAGGTCGTCCCCTATCATAGTGCTTTTGCTTCTCTTATACGTAAACGTGTTCAGTACCGGTAGATAGTGATCATTTTTGGAATGAAGTTTTCAACTACCTCTGTTATAGTTGTCCCTAAGAAAACGGAATCTTTTTATGGGAAAAAGTGCAATTTTTGCTATTTCATGCTGACAATTGCTTCATAATACTAAATTGACAAGGAAGTAGACCTTACCGAATTTGTACCACGCACGTCTATGTATAAGGATTCTCAGGAAATGTAAGTCCTTATATGCCGATAAGGTCCAATTCTTAATGTTTCATGATGAAAAATTGTTCATGACAGAATTTTGACATAGAGATTAAATGGACGAAAATTTGAACCAAATGGCATTATTTCTTGAACCCCGCTTTATATAAGATTTCTTGTAAAGGTTTAATTTTTAAGATTTTTTAATGAAAATGGCTCCATACGAAAAAGTTAGCAAATTACGCTTAAGGAATTTGGATCGCATAGGTCTATTTCTTAGACACAAATGTAGGGGTTAGCATGAAAAGCAGTCTTATACGGAGACAAAGTTTAATTTCTAGTTTCTTATGACAAAAGCTAGAAGCTAGAAAAATAAGTTAACTGAATTAGAATCACGTCATGTGATGTTTTTGGCCTTCTTCAATTAGCGGGTTTTCATGAAAAGTATGTCTTTTCATGTGAGTGTAACTTTTTTTTAGTATATTATTGCCAAGACGAGCGGGTAACTGTTCCAGGTGAAGTGGTGTAGACTATCTAATGGTCGCTCTTATCCCGTCTTATGACGTTCTTAGTTGTTTTTATTTTTCTTTTTTTGTGGAAGCTTACCTCTGGTTCTGGCATTTTTAAAGAAGCCGCTGGTACTTCATCACTTAGAGATATGGGCAGTTTGTTCGGTAATACCATAATATTTCCAATTTGCTCGACAATTATACGGCGCAGTAAATCGCTTAATCCAGGCATATCCATAAAATCAATAATGCCCACCAAATTGAAATCGATATTGGGATTATTTAAGAAGAAAATTTGCAAACCACCCACCAATGGCATAGTACGTATAAGCGGTTTCATTACAACGCGTATCCAACCGTGAATTTGGAAATCTTTAATGCCACCCTTCATGGCACCCAAATAAAAGTTAATATCACAGTCACTAGCGTAAAATAAATCCAAATCCATTATGATTTCATTACGAGCGACATTGTAATCATAAACTTTAACGCCACCGATACGCGGCGGTATCGTTCCCAAAATAATCCGATCAAAACGAAAACCAGGTAATTTATAAAAAGCTAATGATTCGGCAACATTCGGTTCAATGGTTTGTTTGACTAGACTTCGTGCATAATGGTTAGCATTCGGCCAGAGTTGTTTAAGAATCTGGAAAAAAGAAGATATTTTTAATTTAATCCTTCAACAAAGATCAGAGTTAAAGGTAAATTTATACCTTATTAAGCCATTCACAGCGTTCAACGTCGGGAAAGTAAACCTAAAAAAAAATATAACTGAATGAATTTACTTTACTTCATATAAAAATGAATTGGATTTGCAATGCTTACCCAAGCCGGTAATTCATCGATACGGGCGAGAATGACTTCTTTTTCTGAAGCTAAAGCTGAAGCCTTAGCAATACTTCGTTTGTGTTTCGTTGATTTTTGCCAACGATCGCGTGCCACTGAAAGTATAACTGGCGCTATAAGCCAAGCGATCGACCAGCCCATATAGCCAACCAGATATATGGAACCAACAATAAAGACTTTTTTCGATGCCGTATAAATAACTGATAGAATGCTATCCTCGGCAGAAGATTTTTTGGGTGGCATTTCTTCTTTACTTGCAGCTACCATTTTCTCATCAATTGAATCTTTTTTGTTGTCGTCTTCCTCTTCGTCAGTCGGATCGGGTGGTATATCCTCCAGTTCGGCTAAGGGAGCTTGATGAACTACGGTAACCTCATCGGAGGACGACTCAGCAGCAGCCACCGGTTGTAGTAGGGTTGCTGGGGCTGCAGCCGGCACCTTAACCGTTTCAATGGGATCACTAAATGAAATCAATTCAATTACATAAGAAGTATTTAGAAAATCATTTCATAAATTAATTGGAAAATATAATAAAAAGCCTGTTAATTATGCTAATTAATGAACAGTAAATATCGGCCGGCATTGATAAGCAACACTGGAAGGCATTTTATATTTACGCATCAAAATACTTTAAAGCTATTTAGTGCTTATGTGTATGCAGTGTTATTGAGTATGGCTTTTTTTTTCTTTTTTTTTTTTTGTATACATACATATAGCTTTTAGATACAGCAACAACAATATTCTTAGATATTCCATGACAAATAAGTATGATGTCATACTCATGGAAGTTTTAAAGTAAATAATTTTATCGTTTTCTTCTTTCATACCAAATATGTTAATTCTCTCAAGTCATTGGTAATGCAAGCAGATGAGTAATGAGAAATGTATAAAGAGTATGTACCTTGGATTAGAGATAAAAGTGTAGACATATTTCTTGATTGATAAAACCACTTGTGCAATTCGTAAGATGATGGGCAGTGGAAGACTAGATTAGGAAGTGCAAAGTGTTTATTGTGAACAAAGGGAAGGGAATAATACTATGCTACGTTTCTCAATTTGTAGATCCATTTAAATTTCAGGCAGATACAAGCAACTAAGATGCAACAAAATATAAAATCTTGATTAAGGTCAAGTCCCAGCAAATTTAATTAGATATCTTTCCCTATTAGTCAGTCCCTAAGTTAACAGATTACGGATTAAAAATATATGTCGGGTTGACTTAGTCACGCCTCTCGTCTACGCGTTCCTTCTGTGTATCCCTAATCTTCAGAGATCCGTAAAAAAGTTTTTCCATGGTATGTTAAACTCTGTACGCATATAATAAATATTATAAATAATGGCATGTAACATATAACATCAGTAGGCGTGTGGACAGCAAATGGGGGGAAATCTGTAACTTGTGTTAACTCATTTTAGGAAATTTTGTTTAAACTTTCGAGTACAACCTATAAATCGTTAAGATCCTTCAATAGTGGTGATATCTTTATGTCATCCTACGAACTTATTGATTGATCTGTTATATCTGATTGATGTAAGCTGTGGCTATGCGAACTTGATCACAAGTTGCGTGCGTCACTTGGTTTTTTTTTTGTTTGAGCCTTGATAACTCGGAGAAGTACTCAATAACCACAGGTGACTGCACCTATAATAAATGCTCGATTGGTAATGATGTAACACATACCGATCGTGTATACTCTTCCACACCTTCACCTATATCCTGTTCATATTTCCTTCTAGCTATAATCCCTTATCTACGCTTACGTGCACTCGTCCAATCGGACGATATATATTCAGTACGAGATCTCCCCACATATATCCCTTTATTTGGCCATTTATATTTCACTTTCACCTTTGTAGCTTCCAATCCTATGCAGTTAACCCCTTAACAATTGTCTACTTACTGTTGCGATAAAATATCGAAACGGTTTAGTCACTTTCATTTTTTTATTGTCGCCTCTTCTGCCCATATTTGCGTAGAATGCAAAGATATTCAGCAAAGACGCTATTTATTCTTGATAAGCGCCAAATTGTGGCTAAGTCGGGTCTTTTTCCTTTCGTATTCATTTGTCAATTTAGTATTGTCGGAAGTGCCCTGCAAAAATTTCCAAAAATTGGATATTAGCTACAATTCCTCTTTACGTGCGCTTGTCTTTGGAGTTGTCCGTTCGTCTATACATATCCGTTTATAGTCCAGTGCCGATCGGTATATCCATTCTTTTGTTTTGTTGCACTTGATTCCTTCGCCCGTGCTTTTATCTGTCCATCCTATTTATCTATGCCTTGGCTTGGTGCTTTATTCAAGCTTTAGTTCACTTGCCAATCCGTACGTAGTGTAAACCGTCGTATAAAACCGAACTAAGTGTTTCTCCGGCACGTTTACTGTGAGAAGCAAAAGAAGTTCCTGCATATGCATCTTACGTGGGGAGTGTACCAAGGTCGTACAGAATTAGTTTTAAATCTTTCTTATTTCTAGTTCGTCTATAAGAAGCTGGGGCTACCTTACTACCACTCAGTGTTAGTGTGTCCTGCTTTTTCACCCGAGAGACCCAGGTTCTATATTTGGCGCAGTAGACCGCGTAGAATGCACAGAATACGCAAAACAACTTAAAAAAAAAAAATTGAATTCTGACCTAGAAAGCTTTTTGAGTCATTATGAGGCGACATTATGGTGGTATTGTTGTACGATGTCAGCTAAGTTGAATTAAAATAAAAAGTAATAAGAAACTATGGCACCTCCTTCCAAAACCATCATCTGATAAAACAAATGCTCTTAAAACGCAATATAAATATTTTTTTTTTAGCTTTTACCGTTATAAAGAGAAAAATCAATAGTCGCAATAGATTAACTTTTATCTAAGCTAAGCTGATATTTTTCGTAGTATACGGTCATCACAGTAACTTCATTTATTTTCTTGCTTGTATTCGAATACCGGAGGGAGTCGATTTAAACGAACACCTGTTGAGTTGAACATAAAATTCCATGGCCTGCAATAAATTTAGTTCACTCAAACAAGTAAATATGCCCACAGGCTTTTAACGTAGTGGTCGTGGCCTATGTAAACTCTAATGTGTCTATAACGGTAAATGCTCACATTTGGCTGCATTTTATTTACAATTCTTATAATGAAAAGAGAATTGAAAATAATATGGATTTGCATCACATAAATAAACTTTTATAAAGTGATTTATGAGGTCAGCGGATGATGGAATTGATGATAGTGTTATTGTTATTATTATATTTTCAGTAATCAAGGATATAATGTATTTTGTCATCAGGTCTTGCGAAAGAATTCATAAACCTTAGAGTGTTTCCTTTCAATTAAGAACGCTCTTCACCGAGTCGGGGACCAATTTATGACTCCCGAGTGGAGTAGAGTTTACAGCTGTCGATAAAAAATGTATTTTTCATACGATCGAATGAAAATTCTTTAGATAGTAACATTGCTAGTGAGTAACACATTTAGATTACGATCGAGTTTACTCGATATCGAGAACTACTGCTCTTCAATGAAATGATACTCTCTTAAATACGAACGAGGTTTTTCGTAGGATCGTCTTCAGGAAAACTACATGACGGACACAATTTTCACTACCCATAGACATCATGGACTGGGGGAGACCACAGATAAGTCAGTAAGGCAGTAATGGTAAAGTACGAGCGATTTGTTTAGATGTAATCAGTTGTGGAGTGCCCTTGAGACAACAGTTAACTCTCCCCCGCATCTACCGCCAGGTCGCCCAAGGTATGTACGACAATCTTCGCAGCCACCAATCCTCTTTTAGATTGAAGAGTGAGTGGCCTTCAAAATATTTTTCGATTGATTCTTTTTTTGTCAGACAGGAAAGAACTAACAGACTTTGACTTCCAAGAATTTCTTCGCTGTCGTTGCAAAATTCCACAAGAAAAACGTATAATAAGGTAGATGGCAGGCTTAAATGCGGCCGAAAAAAATTGTTGCCCTTAGCAATCTTTCTAATTGCACTACATTGTCAAATGTTTACTTGGATTAGCTCTTTGGGCCAATGGTAACCGATTGTCTTTAATTCAACCATTACATCAAATTTTTCCAATGGTTTCGTGCTCCAAATTGTTTGCTGGACGATTATTAAATACTAGGAACAGCAAAAACTTCGAAAAAAACAGAGAAGTTTATGTGGGAAGTGATTGAAAAATAAGTCCAAGCCGAACTACCTACAATAGCGATCGTTCTTGGGTCAAAACATGTTCGTCTCTCAAATTCCATGAAAATGCCTTAAAAATTGCAAGCCGTGACTTCAGTACAGGAAAATAAGACAGATAGACTGACGGACAGACAAGCCTAAATCGATTCAGAACGCGATTCTGATCGCGATTTGTATGTTAAACACAAGAACGCAAGACAAGCAGACAAGCTTACCGATCGAAAGTGATCCTGAAACGATTAATGGGCCTATCTCAAGGCCTTCTTATTGTTCGATAACATATCTTTGTTACAGACATGAACTTTGTAGACAACAGCTAATATTGCTTGGTTCGAAGTCTTAGGTTTCTTTCCGCTTTTGGAAATTTTAGCAATGCGCACACTACTATAAGGACATGATTAAGTAATGACTCAAAAATCACTTTAGAAATATATTTTGTTACCAATGAAAGCGAAGGGCAAGACAACGAACAGCGAAGAAATTTGTAAAATCTTTCGTTGCATCATATCAACTACTCGAACTAAGAGGAAGAGACCTATGATTGATTACCAGTCATAATTCCTTCAGGAATCGTTTGAGAAGTAAGGCTAACTTCGATAGCGATTTATACAGATTCTGTCAAGGGACGAATGAAACGTCGCATCCTATCCTATGCGAATGTGAGGTCACCAGCAAAAGTGATTGGCAAGCGCGATGTAAGATGGCGGGATTCGTAAGAACAAAAATATTGAGGGCCTAGATGGATGGGTGAGTACAATAGATCTTTTAGGTTGCGGTACGAATTGTCCACACAATAATAATAACAGCAGCAGCAGCAATGAAATAATGCGCTTAATATATTCACGATAGTGAAGATGTGATGAAAAGCGTATGGATATTAAAGTGAAAGATTTTGTTTATTTTTTACTTTTTTTTTTTTTTTGTTCTTGAATATTCATGAGATCATGACATTGTTAGTCAATATATAAAAGCTGGCAATATGTGAAATGCAAAAGTTTGCGTACATGCTTGTGGTGAAAAGGTAAACACATATCATAGATAAGCAAATAAAAAAAAAAAAAAAATTTATATAGAAATGAAAGAAAAACATTTTTTTTTTTTAAATCTCACCTCATATTTGTTGGTTTCTTTTTGGGGATTGTGTTTGTTTTGGGAGGATTTACGCACAAGAACAACAACTAGAAAACATGCACAGCTCTTTTAAGTAAAATTTAAAGACAACAACAACAACAACTAAAGATTGTTGGATTTGTATTGTTGAGATGTTGTTGTTATTATTATTATTGTTGAATAATGTATAACAAATGTGTGTATACTCGTTGCACTGAGTCGCTAAATATAAAATAATTGATTAATATATATATATATATATATATATATATATCTTTACATATGAAAGTAGTATAAAGAAATATGTAATGTCTAAGAGGGTAGAGAAAAATTTATTTAAATATATGATAAAACAACAAAAGGTTTTTTTTTTCTTTTGTCTTTTCTTAATAATAAAAAAAAATTTAAAAAGGAACGAACGAAGAGAAAGGAAGAAAGAAAGACTCACGATAAAAATTTTTTAAAAAACATAATCTTTTTTTTTTTTTGTTTACACTTAAACACCAATGATTTATATATTAATGTATATATATATTTTCTTTGTATTTAATAATAATTCACAAAACCTATTGTTTAATGTTAATTCTTTTCAACTACATGCACACCAATGTATAAAACTTAAGAAAGAATTCGCGATATTTTCTATAACCACCATCAAGGGACGAAGCTATATCGTATATTCCTATCAGCGATCACTTCAGTGACCTTTATCAGTTAATTTTATTATGTCCGTCCGTTAGTTTGTCACTCTACTTAGTTGATTGAAATTTGATCTTCGATCATATTTAGGAATAAGGTTTCAAACTAAATACAAACGGAGCATAAGCAGATGCAATGTAACCTAAAAAGAGCATTGATTATGTGTTTAAGTGGTTGCCTCTGTGTTTCAAAACGTTCGCAAATACTTTGATTGCTTAATCAGACGAAGGCGGTGGGCTTATCCGAAAATTTTCAAACGATTTCCTGCGCCCACCCATCTTGTAAGACAATCTTCTATGACTGAAATTCCAGATAAGAAAGTTTGCGTTTCGGCTAAATCTTCGCCTCTGGGCAAAGCGGGCCCCGTTCCTGCAGTTACGGGTGATCGCAATCACTGTTAGTACTCTCCAAAGAGCCAGGGCAGCAGTCGACTCTCACCTGCTGTTTGCCTTTTGGCTTCGCAGTCCTGTTATTTCCACTTCATTACTTCCGAAGATTCCGACTGAGCACATTTACGTTCTTTTACGTCTATTTACGTTCAGCCAAGCTTAAGTGTTTGTATTTGTTAGTGTTTCTGTCGAAATATCCCGCACGTCTGCTTAGGTACCAGCCAGACGTTGCTGTATTCACCAAAGTATCTTGCGGCGTCACCACTCCGGCCAAGTTCTTGCTGCGTACATTTGTTATTAAGTAAGTGGGTAACCAGATCACCGTTGATTCCATAATTTCATTTTGTAACGCATTAGGATTATCGGCAATCTGTCTGATGCGGACACATTCTTGCTTTCGGATTATCGATACTTTTTCGATACCATCGGCATATCAATCCATCATGCATCGAGCAACAAACACTAATTGGCACTGCTATTTCTCTGATCTCTCAGTACTTCGCAAACTTACTTTTTAGCATTTAAGGAGCAAAAATTTTCCATATCATCCAAGCAATACGTCTCTTGTTACTATTTTGAAACTTTTTATCCATTTTTAGTTCTCATCCTATTGTTTACGCCCCAAAAGTGAAACGGGAAACTGAATTAAAGAAAGAATATATATATATATATATAAATATACATACATAAATATACATATATATATATATATAAATATACATATCCTATCAGTATAAAATTCGTAATGATTTCGTCCTTGCCTCGGTCCCTTGACTATCACCACCTTCTACGACGTAAAAATTTAAACGAAGAACAAAACTTTGCAATTATCCATATATTCCAAATTGATGGCGATAGGGAAAACTTGAAAATTCTGATTCATTTATAACTTTTTTCTCTTTTTTTTTTGGAGACGAGATCAGGGCTAGACCCTGCCAAACAACTAGGAAAACGCATCATATTTTATTTTTTGATTTAAAATCCCGGCAATCGTCAATCGGAGGGATTAAAACCCACTTGATTCGGCATAAATAATTAGATTCCTATCAAGATGTCAGTCAATCAAATATCATTTCCGATGCCTGTTCATAGATCATGCGAACGAGTAGCTTTCTTCACTAGTGGTGGTTATGAAAACTTAGTTCTGCTTCTCTGAGAACATTGTTACACATTAAAAATTATTTTAACACGTTTCTAATGCGTTTTTATTCTTTTCTCTCTCTCTTTTTTTATTTAAGTCACCCGCAACATTCTCTTTTGCTATTGAAATTTTTTACGTAAAACAACACGATCTTCTTATTTGAAATTAAAACCGGTTGCTGTTGTTGTTTTTTTCGCACATTAGTCATTTTTTTATATTCGATTTTGTTTTTTCGTTTAATTGTGCGTTTACCTGCGAAAATGCGTATCAATTTATTGTATTTTTATTTTTTCTAAACACACATACACACACACACACACACATGTAGATACATATGCATGTAGATATAAACCACCATAGGCGTATATATGCAAATAGATTACAATTAGTACCGTTAAAAAGACCCTCTCCGAGCAAGGCGCTTAAAACAACTGATTTTGCGAAAATACATTTAACGTTCTTTCGGAAAGATTTGTCTCATCAAAAAAAGAGTACTACTCGTCTCAGCCTTGAAATGGCGAACATATGTTTTGAAATGCTTACAAAAAAAAAAAAAACAATAAATAAATAAATGCGAAAAGCTTTTATTAAAATCAACAAAAGCTTTCTCATGCTCTCTTAATACTAATTTTTTCCCTTAAAAGTTTCCGCTGAAAAGTTGTGTGTCTTGAAAATTTAAAATATGGGCTACACGGGGTAGGAATAACGTTTGACAAATGCTTGGCTTTAACTTAAACGCTTAACTACGATGGAGCATCGAGTAGCTCTTAACTTTACTTTTCTTTAATTGTTTCTATTAAAAATCGTCATCCCTTTGAAACTTTAATTATCTTATCTTCCTTAGAATCACTTTTCAAGCATTATTTGTCTTGCCTGGAAATTACTAACATTTGCTATTTTCATTATTAGTTGCTGCCACCCACGTAGCTTCAAGGAAGAAAGCTCTTGAGGATTAATTCGAAAAAAATGAGACAAACAAGCTTTTGAACTACGCTTGGAGTAGACATAGCTGGCTGCGGAAAGTGCGGCAGGAGATTTGCAGCTATGGATATTGATTGAATTCGGCAAGTTGCATTTATTGACCCATTGAACAGCGAACAGGCAGCTATCGATAAAGTATGCACTTTCCCTTCTGTCAAATGCGAAATCCTTCGATCGTAGAATTGTTGCCGAGTAATCCATTGAACTTACGATCGATATTCTTTGCTAGAAATCGACAGTTGTTATTTAGTTGAAATTTCTTCCGCCGATGACATTGTACGCTTTTCATTCTAATTGTATTTTCCGGAATTGTGCGTTCAATGAACTTTGCTTTTAAGACAGCGTTTAGTTCGCGTTCTTAGTGGCTTGTAGCAACTTTTATTTTAAGTTACAAATTGAAGGCATTTAAACTTATAGAACGGCTATAAAAATAATTATCTAGATCAAGGGTGGGCAACAGTTTTCGTCAATGGAACAATTATAATTTTCATATCGCTGCGAAAAGAAAAGAGAAAAAGTTCTGGAAGATAGAACTCATTTGCAGCGTTGAGTATTTTTGGAATTGTAAATGCAGCGGGCCGGCAGTTGCCTACACCTGATCTAGATAAAGTGATAGAAGTCGCCCTTGATTTCAACGGCCTTGGAGAAAAAGATTGTTACATATCTTATACATCATCTCCTCGCCGACACATATCGAAAACATCGACTCGGGTTTTTTGATAAAAAAAAAACCGTTGAGTAGAAGAAAATCGTGGTTTTTTTGAAAGAACATATTGCCGAGTAGCAGTTGAATCTGTTTTTTTTTTTTTTTTTTAAAGAAAATGCCGTTAATAGATCCCAATGGAAAGCCGAACCTATAGCAAATGTTCAGAATAATATAATGCCATCAGGGGGAGAGCGAAAATTTTTCTACGATTCCAATATCGTATTCTTATTAAATTTCTATTTGAAGGCACTTGGACAAAGGTATTCGTTGTACGTGGAATTTAAAAACCTAAGGCAAAGATGTCCTAATTTTCTTCACAAACCTATGACAAGTGGGCTATGTTAGCTACGTCTGCACTCGTACATTGCCACTGCGCAGTTATATACTGAAAACATGCACAGCAAAAGAACACAACAGGTATACGGAGCTTATGCTGCATTTTCTAGAAAGCTTCCATACGATGACTTGAGAAAAGGAAAATCCACCTGTGTTCTAGCAGTGCTTTTCATTACTAAAAATTATTAATGAAACTTTTCATCTTCTGCGGCGTAATTTATTATGATTTTAGCATAAGAGCATAAGATTCGCAGATAATTGTTCTTTAGATTTAATTCTTGACTCATTGTTGCCTTATATTCGGACATATTCGAAATTGTTCTTCCTCAACCAAACGGTAAAATCCTTGAAAGCACTCGTAATTGTTAAATTTCCGTCATAAGTACACATTTTTATATTCAACCGTAATATCGTTTTCGCTTCTTGTGTTCTTATGCGTTACTCGCTTAATAGAGTTAGCTCTTTGATTCAAAACTTTTCACTTTTAGTTAGATTGTAAACGAACAAAAAAATATATATAAAAAAATTTCAATAATTTCTTGAAGCATAAAGAGCATGCTCCAGCATTTATTGCTAGATTTACTTGCATTGATTGAAACTTGAAAGCACTTTGACGCAGCACAGCATCCTGGCATCGATATCTTGAAAATAAGATCCCGTGGAGAAAATCTGAATTTGGTTTCATTTAAATAAAAATCATCAAAAAATGTTGGAGTTTTACATGCTTTATAATCATTTTTTTTAAGCTCAAAAGTTCAAAAAGGCCACATTAACCTTTGCGATAGATTTAGTGTTAAAATTATGCCGTGCTCGAAAATGCAGCTCATCTACCAAATCCTATAACTTATATGGCTTTGCAGCTTTCTTATTAAAAGCATAAGTGCGGTGAAGTAGTGCCTTATATTCATTTCACTTTCATCCGCAAGATGAACCTTTCCCGATAAGAAGTAGCGCAGCTTATTTTTTTTAATATTAAATTATTCTTTTTTTTTTTTTTGAAATTAGAATGGAATTTGAATTTTTTTGCCGAGAATTAAGTTTTAAGACACAATACAAAGGCGCATATGGCGATAAGAATCATATTTGCTATCGTACTGTGTACATAATGATATGCCATTACCCTAGATACAATACCAAAATTTTTGTGCAAAATGTAAACAAGTTTGTGTGTGTATGTCCTTTCATGCGGATGTATATAAATTCGTTACTTTTCTCATTCGTTTGTCGGTATAATTTTCTTTCGCCTTGTCCATCTGTTCGCTCTTATGTCGCGTTATCTCTTCTTCTTCTATCTTCTTTCCAAAAAAAAAAAAAAACAAAAAAAAAATTATAAATAATACACACAGCTTGTGTTTGGCTATGGTCGAATGTTTTGTACCCATCGTCTTTATCTTTAATAAGTAAAAAGATTATAATCGGTCATGCCCCCCATTAAATACCCAATGCCACGTCGCTGGAGACCGTTACTCTAAACGCTTTTCCTATAACAATTTTTCAGAACAACGCTTCTTGCGGGAAGTTTGTGAAAAAGAGGTTCAAAACGCTCGGGTGTTTCGAATTTCATCAAAGTTTCTTCAAAAATGCGAATTGTAGATTGAGCACAAAAATACTTGGACTGACGGTAGACAGACAGACAGACAGACAGACAGACAGACAGATCAACTTAGATCGTTTCAGAGTCTTTGTCTAGTGCTGTTGAGTACTGTATATATCCTAGCAAATTAAACGTACCCTACGTCACAAAATGTATAGGATATAAAAACCACAAAAAAAAAGGAAACTTTATACCCTATCAGATTGAGTAGGTGTACTCGCGTATAGATAGATGACAGGTGGAATATATGTAGAAGTACATATCGTTGGATCTGTTGCAGACAGTAGATGTGCTTCTATCTGATGTTGTTCATGTCTTTTAACTGACTTGCATTTTCTCAAATACAACTTGTTTTCCAGAGCTTACAGAGCTTTTTATCAAAATTTAAAGCCAACATCTAAATTATTCCCTATCTCTTGCTTAAGGTATATATCAGACAAATGTAACAATCAGAACGACTTGAGATAGACCCACATTTTTTTATATTAATTGATTTGGAAGAAAGAAAATTATTAAGAAAATTATCTGTCTGTCTGTCCGCGCCCATGTCTTCTGTTGAACATAAATGTTGCAATTTTTCAGATATTTTTATAAAATTTGGTAAATCCGCACGTTTTGACGTAAAAACGAACGCTATTGAAAATTGTTCGGATCGCATTACTTTTTCGAACGCTTTCCATACAATAGCGTATTTAAAAAAGTCATTTTACAAAGGGAGTTGGGTGTTTGTTTTGGAGTAGGGTGTTTGTTTTGCCGAACAGGCGACTTGTTTCCAAAGATCGCAAAAGCACAACCACAAAAGCACAGACGGACGTGCTTAAATCCTTTCAAAAGGTGAAGTTTATCAAGATTACTTAAACTTTGTAGCGCCTCTAAAGCTTCAATTTGAACGTTGAAAACGTTTCGACAAATTCTTAATTAAAATAAAATTTCCAAAATTTCTTTTCAAAAACTTTGTAAAGAACTTAGTACGCCATCATTTATGTACCACATACACTAAGTATATAGTTTAAAAGTGCAACACAAATATAAACTTTCTGAAGCTGTTTGGCGTCGCTTTAGTGAAATGATTTTAATGAATACTTCATTATTACGTGCCATGAAGTCTCTATTGAGATCATCAGAACGTTATAAATAATTGATTGAAATGCATTGATTTGAGTAAAAAATTTCAAAAAAGTTATTATTAATCAAGTAGATATGTAGGTCATAAATATTAATTTTATTAATGCATTCAGAACAAAAACAAAAAATCATTGATAATAATTGTTGTTGCTATTCGTTCTGAATAAATATTAATTTTAATAACTTCTTAGATATTCTACGAAGAGACGATGATTAATACAATAAATAATAAAATGTTTTGCTTGTTTTTAATTAAAGCAAGAAAATACGAAAAATTTTGTTGCATATTTTTTGATGTTTAACAATAAATTAACTTTATTGCATACTTTGAGCTGAGCAATATTATTAAAAATAGTACCTTATTAAAGACTTTGAGTCTTCTTCAAATTTACAAATTCTTAGTTAGCCTAAAAATTTGATCAAAATTCTCCTTATATGTCGGTTCACATAACAGCATTCGAAAAGTTTAAGAAGCAAAAGGAAGCTTGCCTTTAAGCTTATTAAAATTAATTAGTTTTATGCACGCCTTCGAATTCGATGAGAGAAAAAAATTGTGGAATTAAAATAGCGAAAAATCAGCGATTGTGCATCAAGTGTGCTATCAACTTTTATCTCTCTTCCACAATTTCTTAAAGACCATCTATATTACGTGAAAACCGCTGATCATCCGCTGGGTGATTGTGCATACACTTTTCCGACCACCGTCGCGCGATATCTCTCTTTCCCCACTTTCCCACTTCTTTCTGACTATCTCCGTGTTACACGTAGAGTACATATTCGCTTAGTGATTGTGCGTACATTTTCTCGACTGCCTTCATCACGTAACACACCCAGCGTTTCATTATATTTGTAGCTTCAAATGCTCCTGCTCCTTGTTTAAAACACAAACAACTAGATCACGTCAACGGGGTCTATCTGTTTACACGCTCTAATACATTGAACGATAGCTTGTAGTGAATTTAAACTTACAACGTACAAGCACAAATACCTTACCTATATGCCAAAATTTTGGAAAAATTAGCAGGTCATATACGTTTTACGAAGCAATCAATTTCCCATTAGGGGATTCACGTTGATGTCCTATTATATTGAGAGGTGACAGTATAGCAATCATGAGGCGATTTTTGAGAGAGCGCGGATGACTTCATCATCTAGAAAGCCGACAGTGAAGTAATTATAGTAAGGTGAAGGAAACTGAATTCCACGTGGGTGAAAATATATGCTTGCAATGATAAAAATCCAGGCACGAGGTTTGTTAAAACATTGTTCCATTCTAGCTTGCTTTATTTAAATTTCTATTCTGCGTTGACCTGTTGTTCGTTGACGATATAATTTGTTTATTTTTTACAGGCGTGCACGTTTTTAGTTTCTTCTTAAAAATTCCAAACCTTCTCTGTGGAGATAATATGTTAAAACCCAATCCTAACCACTAACCCCTAACTCTAGAATAGTAAGACGTTTTGTTCGTTTTTTTCTTTTTCACTCATGCCATTAAACTGAAAGGTTATTTATATCCCTTATGAAATATTATAGTAATAGTTAACTATTAATAATAGTAACAGCAATGACAACGACAACGGCAAGAAGATGAAGGTATAGAGGACGATTCTTAAGTAAATAAACAGCATAACATCAGACTGCCGGCGACTGACATGTCGTGTTCAAGGCCGTAAAACTGCATGAAAATTGTATAAAGAAATTTTTATTTCTCTTTTGTTTTGTCTTCAAAAATATGCTATCAAGTCATGAAAGTTGAAAGGCGGAGACGTATCATATAAAATGCTTAATACATCAAAACTGAAATGAGGTTAAGTTGAAATTTCTTGCAATTTATAGTAAGCAACATGGGGTAAAATGAGGAAAAAACATTACTTTCAATAAGCCGTGGTTGCCTAAGAGCATGGTTTAGACATATACTTATCTATTGTAAGCGCTTCCATTTTTTACGGATCGCAGGATCTATAGAAATCGATTGATATTCTTTTTAAAACTTATACATATACATCCGTCGCCAGTTTCAAATTTGGAATGCCCCTAAGCATGCCCTTGTGCCCGTCTGTCCATCTGTCCGTCTGCTCAAATGTGTGGCATCTGTGTTAAACATTCTCTTGTCAAGCAAAAATTAATATATCGCCTACTAATATGCAAAAAAATTTGAAAATAACCTACACCGGTCAAAAGACGCGTTTGCAACAAAAGTTGTGGGTACCTTTGCTTTTCGCATTTTTTGCTTATTACTTATAAAGTACAACACATACGCCACATAAATTTTCGTTTTTATTTTGAGAATAGAAAAAATCGACCACGCCCACCCAGTAAAATAAGATATGCAAATTTAGTAATATTATAGAATATGAAAATTTAGCCCTCTTGCTTTCTTTTAATATTTTTTCGGCGATGGATGTAAAGGATGCGGTCACGAGGATCGAGGATAAATTTCTTACTTGTTTAATGAAAACATCGATTTTATTTCTTAAGAAAGCTTTAGTTTTTTAGTTTTTTTCGCGACAAGTGCTAAATGAAAATGTAAGTCATTCCTTGAAAAACTAACAATTTGCTTAACTCTTAAGGACACTTTGCCTAGCTTGAAATTGCGACAACTTTAAGTGGCCACTTAAGTCTGTGCACACAAAAACTATAAAACTATATGTTTTCATTGCATTACACGCAAGCAAGGGTTCCGTGTAACCAGTAACAGCATATGGAAGAAAAGAAAGGAAGAGTGCGTTACCAATAGTAATCGCAACAAAAACGCTTATAACGATATCTGCAGAGAGATGAGAGATAAATCGTATTTCCATATAGAATAGTAAGCAACAGCATCTGTTCGTGAACTAATAAATTGAAGGCTACATCAATAGTCACACATATTGAGAATTAA